GTAGTAGCAGGAGTAGTCGTCGTAATAGTAGTGGTAGTGGTAGTAGTAATAGTAAAAATAGCGGTTGGAGCCATAATCCTAGAGAATACCCTATAGCCTTGCAACACGTGGGGTGATGATGATACTGCTACTCGACACAGGCAGATAACAACTTCGAATCGTCATATTCCTCCGCGATGAGAAAGTTCGGCCTCGCCGCCCCTCTCCCTGGACCGACTCTGTCCTGGCCGGAGATAATCAACTCTCAATGGTGAAGGGGGGGATGATTCCTTATCCTGGGCATGCGTTTATCCATCGCAGAAGCATCGAAACCCAAGGATACCCAGGGCACCCTGGAGGCAAGCAGGGTGTTTAAAGGGGCCTACAAACATACAAATAAATACACAAATAAAAAGATTTCTCATCATTTTCCATATTTTCTGGATTGCTGTCTTCCCCCACTTCCCATATTTTCCCATATTTTCCCATATTTTCCTGGGACTCGACGATTAATTGCGTCTGTGTGTTTCTTTCCCTCCTGAGTGTTTCTTGACATCGGAAACAGTGGGATGGAACGAAAACATGCCGTCGGCGATCGGGCCCCCCGCCACAGGAATTGCTCGGGTGTTCAGTGACGTGGGGGCTTCTCTTTTTCGTGGCGATCGCTGGAAGGTCCGCCCGCGCAAGCTCCTTGGAAGGTCGCCCGGCGGTCCCCGCTGCAAGCGAGCACCTGACAAGTATCAGTGGGCCCTTTAGCGTCCAAGAACTCCACTAGGTTCGGGTGTCCGATGACGGGTGTCCGATGAGGAGGGAGGAGGGAGGAGGGAGGAGGGAGAAGGGAGGAGGGAGGAGGGAGGAGGAAAGAGGAGGAGGAGGAGGAGGAGGAGGAGGAGGAGGACGAAGCGCGCGCCGCTCGTGCACCTTCTGGAGCCCGCGGGGCACTTGAGGGGGCCGCCTGGGGCCCCTGCAGGAAGCGGCGCCCGCGGGCCACAGCTCGGGCCTCCGGCGGCTGCTCGGGACGACCCGGGCGCCCCCCGGAGCGCCCTCGGCGGAGCGCAGCTGCTGGAGGTCCCCCCGAGGCCAGAAGGCCGACGGAAACGTCCGAACACGCCCGAGCAAGGTCTGGCGTCATGTTGTTCCCATCCTACTTAAGGACCGCATCCCAGAAATAATTTCGAGCACCGGGAAAAGTGTCCAAAGAGTATCGAAAGAGTGTCGAAACAGTGTCGGGCGAGTGTCTCCCAGGGCCCGACATGTGAAACCCCTCGAGTTTCGGCACTTTGTTCTGGTGCTCGAAATTCTCTGGTGATCAATGCTAAAATAAGTTGGAACATCATGACTCTTGGCTGCCCTCCGGGCCTTCCGCGTCGTTCACCACCTGAGGGGCAACGATAGGGGGGGGGGGACTGGCGCAGGGAGGAGACACCGACCTGGAATCGGCAGTACATCGCCGATAGATTGGCCACAGGCCCCCGATAGCAAAACCGCAGGTTGCTAGGCTCAGGATGGGGTTTACGGGCCCTTATCGACCATCATTGAGCGATGGGGTGTCGATGCGTCCCCCTCTATGCCCTCATGGCTTTCGGGTCACAACTCGGGCCCCCAGCGGCCGCAAGGAAATCGGGCTCCGCATCGAGCCGCCTCGCCGATGCACCGGCGATGCGGACCAATCCTTCGACCTCATCTACCCGTAACCCATCAAGGTGGCCTAGAGCCCAAGAAGGCAGAGCATGACCACCACCACCGAGATCAGGATCGCCGAGCATTGTTGCCAACCTGCCAACCTCTGGGCCTCCGACAAGACATGAACGCTCGAAGGTCCTCGAAGCGCTTCTTGGGTGGGCGCTGGACGTCCCTGGCGGCGCCTCCAGCGCTGCCCCTGGGCGCGCTGCGCGCGCCGGGGACGCCCTCCCCTGGGCACCCATCTCGGGAATCCCGAGGCGGTGCCGTGACAGACCGCGTGGTGACTTCGGTAGGCCTCAACGCACGGAGCATCGTGTACAATAGGAGCTTGACCACAAGAAACCTCCCACAAGGAACCCAACCCTGAGACCCCAGGGCGTCCACCAGTTCTTGGCGTGGGAGCGTCACGCGTTCCACGGCAAAACCATCGAAACCCAAGAAACCCCCCGGGCACCCGTTTCGGGAATCCTTCGACCCCGCCTACTCCGACCCCAGACCCCCGACTAATGATTTGTTCATTACGTCGACCCCCAGAGGTCCCGACCCTTTCCCCATGACCGGCTATGCATCCTGAGTCGCTTTTTGACGCTCCCGAGGCCCGGCGAGGTCCCCCAGAGGCTGAAAATGGCGAAAACCTCCCGTCGTAATTTGTTCACTACTCCAGGGGGTCTGGGACCCCACCTGGGAGGCCTAGACCACTGTGGCCCCTGGCCACCACGAGGCCCGCCGCGCCGCCGCTCTGGGCCCGCAGGGCCTTCTGCTCGAAGGTGCAGCTCCCGCGGCGCACCACCGCCACGGCGGGGGCGGCGGCCCGCAGGGGCGGAGGAACCCCGACGTCCTGCCGCCGTGAAAAAACCGCCACGGGCTACAAACAAGCCCTCACGCCTCCTCTCACCGAGTATCGGTCAACCCATCCCCATCCCCAGCGGCGTGGCCTGGGCCCCACTGGCCGATTTGCCCCTGGGTCGTTCCCTTCGGGCTTCGAGGGGTGCATCCCCAGCTGGGGCGGTCATCTCGTGGGCGTCTCGAAGGGGATGGGGATGGGCACTGGTGACACGACACCCACTCGCTTCCCCCCCTCGCTCGCCGCCGATCGGGACGAGCAGAGCAGCTGCTGGCAAACGGCCAGGATCCGCCGAGGGGGTCTTGCTATCCATTACCTCAAGGCAGACATTTATTTGTTAGGGCCGTTTGCGAGCACAGTCGGACTTGATTGGGCAGGACACGCGAGAGGACACAAGACCCTTCCGAGGGCCACATTGCCATAGGAATGTAGGAAGCATGGGTCGCGAGGCACCGGACACAAGGCTAGGGCTCCCAACTTCGCGCTTCGCGCTCCGCGAAGCGCGAAGCGCGAATAACTTCGCGCCCTCGCGCCGCCCCCCCAAAGGGAGAAAAGGAGGACGAGGAGGAGGGGGAGAAGGAACGAGGACCGCGAAGCGCGAAGCGCGAATAACTTCGCGCCCTCGTGGGAGCCCTTGCAAGGGTACCCTTGATTTGCCAGGATCGACCTTCGAAGCTGGGCCGACTGCAGGAGCTCTGCGAGTAGTGAAACGCGCCCGGCGACTCTCAACCACCCACGGTTCGCGCGGGGCCGAGGGACGGCCATACCCCCCCCCGGAGGGCGGTGGCGAGGAGCTCGCCATCGCTCGGACGTCCATTCCCTGTGATTTTTGTCGGCTTCATGCGTGGCTTTTTCGCCAAATGATCAAGGATGCTCCTCGATGGTCCTCGCCCGAGAAAACATGCACAAGTCCGAGCGATGCCAAGAGGAGCAGGCCGGAGCCCCCCCTCGGCGGCGCCCAGCAAGCGCCGCCCTCTGGCGCGCCCCGCGCGCCAGCACGGGGGGTGCCAGCCCCGATCCGAGGCATCCCCGCGGACCGCCGAGTTGCTGCAGCCAACCCGCACGATACTTGCACACAGCAGGCTGCACATCGCACATGGGGCAGCGCAGAGTGCACAAGACCGATGGCACAACGCATACTGCACCACAGATATTGCGCAACACCGATTGTCAGGAACACACTGCTTGGGGTCAACGCTGGGTGGCATTCTCTTCATTCGCGGTAACGCCCGTGAGCGGCCCCGACCCCCCCCCCTTCCCCGGTTCCCCCGATCACATCACGATATGCGCTGGCGCCGTCTGGGAATGAGCCAACGATTCTCAGACGGCGCCGGCCCGACTCGTGACGTGACCGGCCCCCTTCCCCCCCTCCCCCCTGGTCATGCCCCTCATCGCCAGGGAATGCAAAAATGCCTCTCGCAGGACTCTTGGCACAGCGCGAAATCCAGAGATGCGCGCTCCCAAATGTACGGCGATGGCCAGAACCGAACCCAGCCCCCCGACGTCATGATTTTTTCATTACGTCGATCCCCAGAGTTCTCGACCCATTCCCCAGAGCAAGTTTCTCATCCTGAGTGATTGTCTAACAGTCCCGAGGCCCAATTAGGGCCCCTGGACGCCGAAAATCAACAGAAAACCTCCCGTCATGATCTTTTCAATACCCGAGGGGGTCTGGGAAGGACGCAGGGTGCCCTTGCGATGGGGCCCCATCCTGCACGCCGGCGTTGACTGCATGCTCTCGGCTCCTGGAGGCTACCTCTTGCATCGAGGTGCGCCCCCGCAGCTGCGCCTCGCCCCGGGGGGGGGGGGACTTCCCGCGTCGTGGGAAATCGCCACGGGGGGCTGTTTGAGCCACTCGAGACTCTCCGGGGGCCAGCCCACGCGCACCGTGGTGGCCCACACGCTGCTCAGGATGAGAAGCTCGGTCCCTGGGAACCGACGAGAAAAGGCTGCACAAACCAAAAACCTTCGGGGCTCCGCGCGGATCTCTTGAACGCCCGTCCTGGCGTGCGGAGGGCGCAAGGGGCGGCGCCAGTCTTTGCCAGGTTCGAGCCGCAGCTTAAGTCGGGCCTGTCCCTCTACATGAGGAATATTCACAAATAGTTTGAAATTAGCCTGGCGAAGGACCCAACCATATGCAGTTGTGAATGCCGCAATTGTGCTGGGTGGTGGCGGACGCATGCGGGCGGTGCCACTGGGACCTTCGGTGGAGCTCCCTATGGGGCCACGAAACGCTGTACTGGGTGGGTGAGACGCGGTCAGCAAGGGCTGTGCTGCGTGGTGGCGGACGCATGCGAGCGGTGCCACTGGGACCTTCGGTGGAGCTCCCTATGGGGCCACGAAACGCTGTACTGGGTGGGTGAAACGCAGGCAGGGAGCAAGGGCTGCGCAGGGTGGTGGCGGACGCATGCGGGCGGTGCCGCTGGGACCTTTGGTGGAGCTCCCTATAGGGCTACGAAGCGCTGTTCTGGGTGGGTGAAGCGCAGGGAACAAGGGCTGTGCTGGGTGGTGGCGGACGCAAGCGGGCAGTGCCACTGGGACCTTTGGTGGAGCCCCCTATGGGGCCACGAAACGTGCGAGGGGTGTGCCAGAATGGGGTGTGGAACCGCATGCCAGCGCAGCCACTGGGGCCTTCGGTGGAGCTCCCTATGGAGCCACGAAACGTGTGAGGGGTGTGCCGAAATGGGGGGTGGAACCGCATGCGAGCGCAGCCACTGCGGCGTTCGGTGGAGCTCCCTATGGGGCCACGAGACGTGTGAAGGGCGTGCCGAAAAAGGGGGTGGAACCGCATGCGAGCGCAGCCACTGGGGCCTTCGGTGGAGCTCTCTATGGGGCCACGAACCGTGTGAGGGGTGTGCCGAAATGGGGGGGGGGAACCACATGCGAGCGCAGCCACTGGGGCGTTCGGTGGAGCTCCCCATGGAGCCACCCACGAAGCGTGTGAGGGGTGTGCCAGAAATGGGGGGTGGAACCGCATGCGGGCGCAGCCACTGGGGCCTTCGGTGGAGCTCCCTATGGGGCCACGAAACGTGTGAGGGGTGTGCCAGAATGGGGGGTGGAACCGCATGCGGGCGCAGCCACTGGGGCCTTCGGTGGAGCTCCCTATGAGGCCACGAAACGTGTGAGGGGTGTGCCAGAACGGTGGGTGGAACCGCATGCGGGCGCAGCCACTGGGGCCTTCGGTGGAGCTCCCCATGGGGCCACGAAGCGTGTGAGGGGTGTGCCAGAATGGGTGTGGGAGGGGGAGGAGGGGGGAGGAAGGGGAGGAGGAGGAAGGAGGAGGAGGAGGAGGAAGGACCGCGGGGCGACGTCTCTTCAAAACGAGGACCCAACACCACAGGACGGTTGGGAAAAATAGCCTGGGGGCACTTTTCCAATACATGTTTTTGAATGTTCTGGGGTATGTGTGGGTGCTTAAATTTTCGCCCAACATCCCCCTAAGCCCGACCTCAGCCGCATCGATCTGTGAGGGCCCTGGGGCCCCGGGCTCGCGTCGCGACGGGCCCCGGGACCGCCGAAGTAAGTACGACTCCGGATGGAAAGTCGTGCCTGGGGAGAGGAGGAGGAGGAGGAAGAGGAGGAGGAGGAGGAGGAGGAAGAGGAGGAGGAGGAGGGGGGAGAGGAGGAACAGGAGGAGGAACGTGGAGAAGGAGGAGGAGGAGGAGGAGGAGGAGGAGGAGGAACGCGGAGGAGGAGGAGGAAAGAGAAGAAAAGGAGGAGGAGGAGGAGGAGGAGGAGGAGGAGGAGGAGGATAAGGAGGAGCAGTCGAGACTTCCGGGGGCAGCGCATTGAAAGAAAAACACGTCGCCTGTCTGGGCCAGGAGAGCTCCAAACAATACACCGCCACCAGCCCTGGCCAGGCCGATCTCGCGGGACCCGGACTTGGTGTACAGGCCTTTCTGGCCTAGGCAAGGAGCCAGTCAAGGGCCCAGGATGGACCTGGCCAGGGCTGGTGGCGGTGTACGCTTGGTGCCCCTCCGATGGGCATTCTTCCAGGGAGGGGGCCAGGACCCCCAGTGGGGAACAAAAACAAAAGGTACACATACCACTGCTCGCGAGGCCTCTCTCCAGGGCGCGTTCTGACCAGCATCTCGAGGCGAGCCCAGCCCGTGGCGAGGAAGGCCTCCCGGCAGGCCCAAGGAGGCGAAAAAAGGGAAGGCGAGACACCGGTCGGGCGGGGCGAAAGGGGGGGATAGCAAAGGGGGGGTTTGAGAATCAGCTCGCGTACTTGGATGGCCGCGGCGGTTGCTAAGTACTTAACATACTTACTACGCTAAGTTAAGTACTTAGTAAGTAGTTAGCGGACTTAGCTAAGTACTTACTCAGTCATTACTAAGTGGCCCACTTAGTAATGACTTAGTAAGTACTTAGCTATCCACTTATAACCAGTTAGCTAAGTGCTTAGCGCACTTAGCTAACCACTTATAACCGCTTATAGCTAGTTTGCTAAGTAGGTTATAAGTGACTTAGCGGTTACATTGCACTTGTTATCCAAGGGCCATGCACAGGGAAAAAAGGTAAATCCACGTCTTGAAAGAGCTGAGTTTGTTCGTTGAGCGCTGCAGCGCTACAAATTTTGCATTTTGATTTGGAGTCGGTGTCCTGGATTTTTGCTTTAAATATGAGAAGCGCTGCAGCGCTGCCTTCGGATTTATATGAACATGAAGCGCTGCGTGCGCTGAAGATGAAGCGCTGCAGCGCTGAATGTTGAGTTAAATGCATGTTTTCTAGTCGCACGTTGTTCGGATCTTCATTTTCGCCCAGCTCCGTTTGCAAGGAATTTGAATGCACATGTCAATTCTGTTTTGTTGTATTCGTTGTTTTTCAATGGTCGCATTGAGCGCAGCAGCGCTCCAAATTTGATAGCACGTATGTTACTTTGCGCTGCAGCGCAAAAAAATGGTTGTCGTCGTGATGTCGCATCGCGCTGCAGCGCGTGCGCGCTCGTGCTTCATGGGCCTCGGGCTGCAGCCCAGATCAACATGTTTGCTCGC